TACTGGTCCTTACTGGTTTGTACTGGTTTATACTGGTTTATACTGGGATTTTTTCCACCGAAAAAGGGGAAAAATGGGAAAAATTGGGAAAAATTGGGAAAAATAGGGAAAAAATGGGGAAAAGTTGGGGAAAAAAGGCGTTAAACTGGTTTGTACTGGTTTGTACTGGTCCGTACTGGTTTGTACTGGTTTATACTGGGATTTTTTCCACCGAAAAAGGGGAAAAATGGGAAAAAATTGGAAAAAATGGGGAAAAAATGGGGAAAAGTTGGGAAAAAAGGCGTTAAACTGGTTTATACTGGTTTGTACTGGTCCGTACTGGTTTGTACTGGTTTATACTGGTTTATACTGGGATTTTTTCCACCTTAAAAGGGGAAAAATGGGAAAAAAATTGGGAAAAATAGTGGAAAAATGGGGAGAAGTTGGAAAAAAAGGCATTAAACTGGTTTATACTGGTCTGTACTGGTCCGTACTGGTTTATACTGGTTTATACTGGTTTATACTGGTTTATACTGGTTCCCACAGGCCCCTCCCCCGCCCAGCAGGGGGCGTTCCAGGCGCTGCTGGGGGCGCTGCGGGCGGAGCCGGAAGTGGGCGGGGCCCTGGGGGCGGTGGGCGGGGTCGGGCGGCTGCTGCAGCCCCCAGGCCACGCCCCCCCGGAATGGCTGGAGCCCATTGGCCGAGCCCTGTGTGACGTCATCGTCGGGCAGGTGAGAGGGGGCGGGGCTTAAAGTGGGCGTGGTTTAATGTGGGCGGGGTTTGGGATTGTGGGCGTGGCTTGAGGGGGGTTTGACCAATGGGGGCGTGGCTTGGGGTGAGGGGGCGTGGCTTGGCGGGTGGGCGTGGCTTGGTTTAAGCCCCGCCCCCTCCCCACCCAGATCGCCTGCCTGAGATCCCGAGGGGACGGCGACGAGGAGGAGGTGGGGGAGCGGCTCCCAGTTCATCCCAGTTCATCCCAGTTTGGTCCCAGTGACCCCAAATCCCATTCCCAGTTTGTCCCAGTCCATCCCAGTTCATCCCAGTTTGGTCCCAGTGACCCCAAATCCCATTCCCAGTTCATTCCAGTAACTCCCAGTTCAGCCCAGTCCATCCCAGTATGGCCCAGTCCCTCCCAGTCCAACCCAGTTTGATCCCAGTCTGTCGCAGTAACCCCAAATCCCACTCCCAGTTCCCTCCCAGTCGTTCCCAGTTCCCTCCCAGTTCCCTCCCAGTCCCTCCCAGTTCATCCCAGTTCCCTCCCAGTCGTTCCCAGTTCCCTCCCAGTTCCCTCCCAGTCCCCTCCCAGTTCATCCCAGTTCCCTCCCAGTCGTTCCCAGTTCCCTCCCAGTCCCCTCCCAGTCCCTCCCAGTTCATCCCAGTCCCTCCCACTTCCCTCCCAATCCCTCCCAGTATAAACCAGTTCCCTCCCAGTATAAACCAGTTCCCTCCCAGTCCCTCCCAGTTCCCTCCCAGTCCCTCCCAGTCCCTCCCAGT